ATGAAAATAGTCAGGAAAGCCCCTGATCTTCGCGTAAAAGGCCAAGGCCGGACGTTTGCCTTGAATCGTTCCTGGGGCCAAACCCTGCCTGTTCAAAACTCACATTAAACTGTTGCAGGTGGTCACGAAAGGCTAATGGAAGTAATCCTAACGTAAATTAAATTACGAAAAAAGGGAAATATTGGACCGCAGGAGGGAGCCGAGTGCTGCCCTCCGAATCCGTAGTATGGAAGCCGTGAGGTCCGGCCCACAGCGAACAGCGAACTCTCTTTATTGCAAACAATGCCAGCAACAAAGAGGAAGTGCTGAGGGGTGAATGGCCTTCTATGACCTGCCGTTCACCCTTCCTCCTGGGGCTGCTCCCAGGAGACAGACTCAGGGTCTCACGTCCATCCATCCATCCGGGGAAGCCCAGCAAAGGGACGCCATGTTGCTGAAGCCTTCAGTTCCATGACAGACGCACAGGAGACATTTATAAAGGAGACCAAAAAAAGATTTTCCGGCTTTATTTATCCCCGGATCCTTAGGATTCCCCTCAGCAAGACAATTTAAATCTTCCGTTGTAAGTGCCAATGCATCTCCTATTTTATAGTTATTTCCCCCTATTCTGGCATTCATAGGACCTGCTAACAGGATTGGAGGGTCAACATGCTGCTCAAAGAGAGCCTGGTCTAATTCTGATAATGTTCTCTTCATGCCTCAAAAGAGTGATAGATCATATGGTTCTTTCACACTCAGTATTGCCGTTCTTTGAAAATTTCATAGTAGGCCTGAAAGTGACAATTCAACTGTCACTCTCTTTATCAATTAGAAAATCGTTAACAATATCATGCAAGGAAAATGTGATTGTTCATGGCGAGAGAAGGTTGCGATGGACTGGAAATTTACAAGAACAGATAAATTAATTTGTAATGTCTCCCAACTTCTTATTTTTAAGAGAACAAGTTCTTACTTCCACCTGGTCTGCTAGCTGCCTCATTACGTTGTGTACATTTGTAGATACAAGCTGGTGGATCAGCTAACGTATTCAACAGGAAACAGAAGTTGTCCTCTATTAGCATTTATTCTTGGATTTCTTTGCTAAAGGACCTATGCCTCCTTGTCCTCTGCTGGTTAGAAATGTGTTCCAATATTGTAGTTACAGATGTTTATTCTTGCCGTTCTAGAATTTTTAATGAATTCTGTGTGTCTAGGATGGTTAACGTATATAATCAAGACATATATAACTGGTGCTGGGACGACAGCATGTTGTTTTGAATTCTTCTTAGCACGACAGACCCTTTGCTCTCTGTGGCTTCTGTAAAACATGAAATCAATGCATATATCTTGGTCCTGGGATGACAGCATCTTGTGGGTGGAACGTCTCTTGGGCGGGGTTATGATGTTCTCTCCCTCCTTCTTCAGCCATACAGTAATCTTCGATCAGGTGAATCGCTTCCTCCAACCGCTTCGGCCGATTTCTCTGTACCTAATTACGAGGTTAGTTCCCAAAGTAATGACTAATTGTTCCATTACAAAGATCTCCAAGATGTCCTCTTTTGACTTTTCTTCTGGACGCAGCCACCTAATTAAATTAGCCTTCATTCTATGACTAAGGGGGCGAGGGTGCATGCCTGCCTTCAATTTAAGCTCCCTAAATCGTTTCCTGTAAGCTTTGTCTGTCAGATTTAGGGTCTGTAGTATAGCCCCCTTTACCACGTCATACTGCGCAGCTTCTGCTGAGGACAAAGTGTCAACGACTTCTTGCAGTGCACCGGTTAAACAGGGAATCAAAATCCATTGTTCCTTGGGCCATCCCGCCGTTGTGACTACCCGTTCAAAAGTATGCAAATATGCTTCAGGATCGTCTGTAGCACTCATTTTTTGAATACGGATAGGCGTGGGTCCTGCAACATTTAATTGTATTTTAAATGTTGAATACTTACAGTATTGTATTTTAAATGTTGTAAGCCGCCCAGAGACCTTTGGGTAGTGTGGGTGGCATAGAAATTAGATAAATAAATAAATAAACCTATGTTTGTTTGTTTTTTTTACTTCTTTGGATGTTTTTTCTCCGTTTTCACCGTCCTTATTTTGCTGCAGTTATTGTCTGGTTATCAACACTTGTTGTTCAGCTAAATTCTCTATCAGTTTCTCTTCTCTCTTAATTGTCTGTCTCACTTCCAGAATTTCTTCATTTCCCACCACTGGGCCCGCCCCACGTTGGGCGCCAGTGCGAACAGGTTCTTCCCTCCCCTGGGACGGACCCTCTTCTTCGGCGGGAAATAATAATAAAGGTGTCGTCTTTATAACCTTTAAAGTTTCATCTTTATTCTCTCCCACATCCCACCAGCACGTTGCTTACAGGAACAAAGGTTTCTAACTTTGACAACAGGCCAGAACTTTCTGAAACACAACTTTTGTCATAGTCCCATGGACTCAAAGGGGTTGCCCCCCACGCCATCTCTTGGCTTCTGGCTTCAGGAGAGGGGCGCTCCGTATCGCACAGATAGTCCCACTACATGAGTGTCGGACCCACCCTCTCTCATCAGGTTCTTCAGGATGTTGGTATTTCGCTGCTTCCCACTCTCGTTTCAATTCGGCTTCTCTGGGTGCCACCTCACCCCTCCTTCATTTATCCCATATGGACACCTCGTGCTCCTCCCACTCCCCTTCTGCCGAGCAAATCTCTGTCTTTCCCGTCTTGTCATCAAGGTGTAACTCTCCCGCCTTTTCAGTAACTGTTACCAGGTCAGTGGAATGATCCCTTCCCATTCTGTTCTCTTTTACCTTCTACACCTTTTACATCCAGGGACGGCACACTCTCCTCCTTCACAGCCGCTACAATCCTGTGTTGTTTAATCCTAGCTGCTGTCAAAACATGCAATGTTAGATACACATTTTGTTAATCAAATTTTTCTGGCATCATACCAGTGGTGTATTGTTACCAGGTCAGTGGAATGATCCCTTCCCATTCTGTTCTCTTTTACCTTCTACACCTTTTACATCCAGGGACGGCACACTCTCCTCCTTCACAGCCGCTACAATCCTGTGTTGTTTAATCCTAGCTGCTGTCAAAACATGCAATGTTAGATACACATTTTGTTAATCAAATTTTTCTGGCATCATACCAGTGGTGTATCATACATACTGGTGCTGGCAGCGGATCCGGGGTGGGGTCTCGAGGCACCTTCCACGCCACCACTTCCGGTTCCGCCACGACGACAGCACACCACCCGATGTATTCCCCCACCCCATCAGGTTGGGCACGCAAGCCCAAAAAGGTTTGCCAACAGATGTTCAGCTTTCTCTGAAGTCAAGGGTGCCTCCAGGGGTCTGTCCAGGTCCGAGGGCAGGTCTTCTCGGGAGACATCTCGGTGGCTCCTGGTTCTCCTAGGGGGGCTGCACTTCCAGCAAATATTTCAGTACCTAAATTACTAAGTTTAGAAGAAAGGAAAAAAAGGAGAGAAATCCCCACACACGGACACCCTCCCCAATCAGTCCATGGTTTGGAAAAGGTTGGGGGGCTGCTGCCTTCGGGGGTTGGCTGGGCAGCGCCAGGGGGCGTGTCGTTGCCTGCATGCTCACGAGCTCACCCTGCCCCACCCGTTCCTGCCAAGGCCACATCCCATTACCGGGCTTCGGACCAGCGGTCGGGGACCCCACCTCTAAGGGGCTTGTGCTGCCAGGTCCGGGGTGGGCTTACCCAGACCCCGCTTTGCCGCTCGCCACGTGGAGTCCTCCATCTTCTTTTTCGGCCACCGGCAGAGGCACCCCGTTCATGGCACCGGCCTCAGCGTGGGACTGGGCAAGTCCCTGTCCCGGCCTTAGGTCAAGAAGAAGTAGTGGTTCGATCTCTGCAATGGTCTTCACAAACCACCCAGACCTGAGAAGGGGGTTGCAGCCGCAGTGCTGGCGCCACCTCAGCAGGCAGATCCGGAGCAGCTGGTGCTGGCAGCGGATCCTGAGTGGGGTCTTGAGGCACCCGGGGCCCCCCTTCCGCCGCCACTTCCGGCGATTTATAACAAATGTAAAGGTCTATCCTGCCTGTCCCCAAGCTTACTCTATCTAAAAAAACAATGCCAGAGAATCCCACGCTAACACAGACTAGCTGACTGTGAATTCCATCCCCCACACAAACATACTAAAAAAGAAATCTAAAGAAATGGTGTATGGAGGGGGAATTAAGGGGGGGGAGACGGAAATATCCCTGCTCTCTGGATTGCAGCCCCTTCGAGAGATTGCAAATCCCCCCCCCCATCTTTGTCAATTCTGAATGGTGAATGGCTGCTGACAGCCTTTGTGGTTTCTGTACTGTCTTCGCATATCTCTAAACATTACGAACTACACAAAAGAAGTGAGGAAAGTTTCAGTGCCACTCAGGTTTTTTTGGTATGTTTCATTTGAAATGTATACTACCTGAGGAAAAAGACACACGTCTGTCTTTTAACTTACTTTACCTGAGTATAATCCATTGTCTCTACCTGTGGGGGGATATTCGTGTAGGAATACGAATACCCCCAAATCTAGTGTGGACCTAAGGTGCTACGTACTGCTCCTAAGGCTAGCAGACCAACATGCAATTAATATCTCAGAAACTCACAAAATGGCTTGGATAGGGGATTTCTGGCAGTTATCTGTATTCTTGTGGGTACTCTCCAAAATATGCCTCTCAACGTCTATAACCGAATCCACCCAGAAAGTGCTTCTGCTGAACAGCAAATAAGCAAGCGCAGCCCTCGGCCCTCCTTCTGGCAGGAGGAAAGAAGAGGGCCTTTCCCCACCAAGAATAGGTTGGGTCTGATCCTTCACAGAGGCAGCAAAGTAGGCTTCTGGATGTGCATCACTAGCTATACTGGATACTATTCGTGAATATAGTTTGGGCAAGTTCGGTTTTTGGCCCATCGCTCCCTAAATGCCAATGGCTGAGTCGGGTTGGGAGCTGTGCCCCCCCCAAAAAAAGCACCATTTTTCTAGATCTTCATAGACTAACTCTTATTCTGGTAATATTTCAGGAAGAAGGCAAGGTGCAAAGAAACATAATCCACGTAAAACCATATAACGATCAAGGCCCTTGGAGGAACACTGGAGTATTCAGTCATCTGTGCCCAGATCCTTCAAGCCAGAGGCGCGGTGAGGAATTGCATAGAAACCCTAATTCTAGAGAAGTTATAGACATGCCGGGCTGTGTGGAAGGCAGATCTCACGTCACAAATTGAACAATAGTCCTTTAATGAGAATGATTTACTCTATGAATTTGGTCTGGATGTCAACTCGGCACCATTGCAAGGCGGGATGATTGCCTTCTACCTTTTTATAGCTCTCTTCCCCTTTTCAAAAACAACCTCCTTTGTGGAGTGAAGGGGAACCCAAGCCTGATTTGGGGGATTTCTTGGGCAAAGATGGTGTGAGGGTTAAAGTTGGAACACGAGGAACAGTGCTAGGGTTAATCCAAAAGATAAAAATTAAAGGAACAAAAAACAAAACTGGTTTCTGTGGAACTTCTTGCCACAGGAGGTGGTGGTGGTGGCATCTGGCCTAGATGCCTTGAAAACTGGATGGGGCAGGATTCTGGAAGAAAATCCCATCCCAGGTGACAAGCCGCGATGGGGATGTACAATCTCCAGAAGGAAGGCCCCTTGAAATGCCAGATGTAGGAGAGGAGGAGGGCCAGGGGACAAGGATCTCGTGTCTGAGATGCTCCCAGAGGCATCTGACGGGGCCACCGTGAGAGACAGGAAGCTGGATGAGATGGGCCCTTGGCCTGATCCAGGAGGGCTCTTCCTTGGTTGTTATGTTCTTACCTAACTGAGATGCCCTCTGGCACCTCCTCCCGGAGTTATGGCAAGTGACAAATACTTAACACAAACACAAATGTTGTTCTGTGTAATATTTTGCAATGCCTTATTAGCAGCAAACAGAAAACAACTTTACATTTGTTATAAATCATATGCATATTCTATACTTTTACCTTTGGACAAGGAAGATTTTTAGAGAGTCTTTGTAGCCGGGATGAGGAGAGTAAATTAACTCTGATGGCTTGATTGCTTTCCTGGGATCAATTGAGATCTGCTCTTCGTCTAACATCTAGATCTGCCCCTTCCTGAAAAACCATTCCCCTTCTCCTTACGGAGGGGTGGTTGAGCCTCCAAGCTTTCTTCTCCACCAGGAATGCCTTGTTACTCCCAAGTTTAGGATAACAGCAGGCGAACGATGGGATTTCTCCCTCCCATACTTGTGTTGCTCACAGGAAACGTGACTGAGTGGTCCTGGTGGAATCCTGTGGCCATTCTTCATCTTCAAGATACGAGAATTAAAATATCCTCCTGGGCCACTTCTGTTCCACATGGGAAAGACAACCAGAGATAACACTTGTAATTAGAGATGGGGTTATTCGTATTCGTATACACACAGGTAGACATAACGAGGGTCCGCCCCCCCCTTGTGCCTGCCCGTCCACTCACCTGCTATGGAGCAATTGGAAGGGGGCATGGAGCCCACAGCAGCAGCGGACAGGTGAGTGGACAGTCTGGCCCTCAGGGGCCGGACCCTCATGATGTCCACCCGTGCGGGGCTATTCTTATTTTTATATGGATACCTGGATGCCACCATCTCTAGTTGCAATCCCATTGCTGTCTTGAATCAGGGATGGTTGTGGGATCTCTCCTGCCTTGCTTACCTTCTCTCTTGGAAAAGGAGTGGGATGGGATGAGGAATCCTCGTAGTATTTGAGAGCAGTCGTGGTCGTGGGTCCATCCTGCGTGTCCCCAAGGGGGAGGGAAGTGGAAATAAGAAGTCTCGCCAATACCCCTGATTTGAGTAGTAGAAGTAGATCTCCAATCAGAAAGAGCAGCAGGATTTCTCTGCCTGTCGTTTGCTGTTTCTCGTGAAAGGGAGATGTGTTTCTGGAACCTTCCCATATCCAAGGAGTGGAAGTCTGAGGAGGAGGAGGAGGAGGAGACGGCGGAGGAAGGGCCCTTGGACTCCTCAGAGGACAGACCCTGGCGGTTATGGGGTCAGGCTTGGAGGTTTTCTTCTCCATTGTTTACAGAAGTTTCCATCTTCCTTAAAAAGTTCCTTCCCAAATTTCTCAAGGATAGTTAAACAGATTGGATAGAATAAATCAGTTTTTTCATATTCTTTTCAAGTGGGGGATACTTTGGGGGCAAAAAAACAAATGAAATATTAAAACATTTTCCTCTTGAATCTCCAGGGACCTTGGGAAGTGTTGTTTCCTCTCATTCACCCTCTCCTGATTCAGTCACTCTAGTAAGTATGTCAGCCCAATTCGGGTCTTATGTCTTCAGCAGAATGTTAGGAGTTGTGTAAGAATTTTACAGTATTCTGCCCTAAGAACAGCGAATACAAGGAGGGTATGTTTTAAAAGAGGATCCACGTCTTCAGTGTCT